TCGTTTTCGTTTGTGTTTTATTTTCTTTGCGTTTGTGTTTGTATTTGTGTTTGTGGTTGGTTTTGCGTTTGTATTTGGTTTGTTTTCGTTTGTTTTTTCGTTTGTGTTTTTTTCTTTGGGTTTGTGGTTGGTTTTGCATTTGGATTTGGTTTGTTTTCGTTTGCTTTTTCGTTTGTTTTTTTCTTTGTGTTTGTATTGGTGTTTGTGGTTGTGGTTGGGTTAGTTGTTAGGTTTTTGTTTTCGTTTGTATTTGTAATTGTGTTAGCGTTATGTTTGCGTTTTGTTGTTTTGGTTTTGGTTTGGGTGTGCAATGCCGGGTTTATGATGATTACTAAACACACAGGTAATGGTCTTTAACAGAAAGGTTTTTCACAGAAGCCAGAGCAGGGCCTGGCCGGGACGGCTAGTACAGTCTATAAACTATCGGTGGTATTCCCCAGTCTATGAACTATCGGTGGTATTCCTCAGCCTGACAAATACAGTCTATGAACTATCGGTGGTATTCCCCAGCCTGACAAATACAGTCTATGAACTATCGGTGGTATTCCCCAGTCTATGAACTATCGGTGGTATTCTCCAGCCTGACAAATACAGTCTATGAACTATCGGTGGTATTCCCCAGTCTATGAACTATCTATGGTATTCCCCAGCCTGACAAATACAGTCTATGAACTATCGGTGGTATTCCCCAGTCTACACGTGCAGTGTATGAACTATCAACGGTATTCCCCAGTCTATGAACTATCGGTGGTATTCTCCAGCCTGACAAATACAGTCTATGAACTATCGGTGGTATTCCCCAGTCTATGAACTATCTATGGTATTCCCCAGCCTGACAAATACAGTCTATGAACTATCGGTGGTATTCCCCAGTCTACACGTGCAGTGTATGAACTATCAACGGTATTCCCCAGTCTATGAACTATTAACGGTATTCCCCGAGTCTTAACACATGCAGTCAGCCTAATACGACAGGAACATTAGCAAGCTGTCAATACAACTCACCCCACACGGCATCTAATAAGTTCCAGCAGAAATCTAGCAAGCATCGCTGCCGGCGAGGTACCTGGGAGAAGAAAGTACGAGGTAACACGCTACAGCAGGCCAACAATCGGCTTACACGACGGTCAGACGGTACTCACCCACTAAGTCGGATTGGATGACGGGGGGACCTGACTCATGAGGTGTAGGGAGTTGCTGGAGGTGGGTGGGGGGTCAGTGCTGGATGGGTCATATTTGGGGTCAGTGGTGGATGGGTCATATTTGGGGTCAGTGTTGGATGGGTCATATTTGGGGTCAGTGCTGGATGAGTCATATTTGGGGTCAGAGCTGGATGAGTCATATTTGGGGTCAGTGTTGGATGGGTCATATTTGGGGTCAGTGCTGGATAGGTCATATTTGGGGTCAGTGTTGGATGGGTCATATTTGGGGTCAGTGTTGGATGGGTCATATTTGGGGTCAGTGCTGGATGGATCAGTGCTGGATGGGTCATATTTGGGCTCAGTGCTGGATGGGTCATATTTGGGGTCAGAGCTGGATGGGTCATATTTGGGGTCAGTGCTGGATGGATCATATTTGGGGTCAGTGTTGGATGGGTCATATTTGGGGTCAGTGTTGGATGGGTCATATTTGGGGTCAGTGCTGTCTGAAACACCTTTGGGGTCAGTGCTGTCAGCGACATCTTTAGGGTCAGTTCCAGTGTTTCTTCCAGACTTTTTTCTTCGAGGGGGGGGGGGGCGGTAAACTTTCTTCGGGGGGGGGGGGGGCGGACACTGTTAAAAGTATATATTTTCTATATAAATTATATAAATTTCATTTCGTTCGGGGGGGGGGGGGGGCGGTAAAAATGTTTCAGGGGGGGGGGGGGTCAGTTCTTAAATTAGGGTAAGTGTTTAAAATCGCGACAATGTAAATTAGGCGACAACGTTTAACAGTAGGTCACTGTTTCAATTGGGGGTCAGAATTTAATATCTTTTTTATTAACTCTTAACTGGGGGTCAGTTTTAAACATGGTTTTACTGCTAAACTCGAGGGATTTATTTTTATCAAAAAAATACTACCGCCCATCCAACATAAAAAAAAAACAACTTTCAACAGTAGTAAACTACTCAACGCACACGATCCAAGAAGACAAAATTGGCTAAGACGGGTTCGTGTTATAAAAAAATAGCCCGGGAATTAAAACGAATCTAATAGCGTACGCTACAGGGGAACCCAAAAAACCCCTTCTCTGGTTGAAAGCTGTGATCTTATAAAAACAATCTCTATACACCAGCCAACGCATGCAATTCTTTTTGTTGAATAAAAAAAAAATAAAAATAAAAAAAAAATGTCTGTTCGGGGCAGATTGAAAAAAAATCTGATTTAAATAAAACAGCAAAGATAAAAAAAAAATGTTGAAAAAAAAAAGTTGCATTAAAGATGCAACAATCACACGAAGCTATTACCTGTGCAAAAAAAAAGTTCACAAAATAATTAGATGTGCAAGGTAATTTGCATGAAAGAAAACACAGGCCCAAAACACAAACTGCATGAAAAGATGGCAATTAAAAAAAACCGGATGAAATTAATTAATTTCAGTTAACTTAAAGCTCCATGTAGTGTTAAAAATAGGTAAGCTAATTAATGAACGGGCAGGTTTTTTTATACAACCTAGTACATCATCACACGGAATTAACTGTTTCTCATCTTAAACCTCAACACTATAAACCTAACAGCACATCGTTTGTTTACCTGTTGATAAACAGCTTATACACAAAGGAAATTACCTTTACAACTCTACCTTTAAAACGTTATTGACAACACGGCAAGGTGAGTCCAAAAATAAAGGCAATCAAGAACCTAATTAAATCTCCTTGAGACTTCAACTAGCTAATCGCTTGTATTACCTATCCCGCTAAGATAACACTTTTTTGTCGCTTAGTTAATGAAATAAAAACTCAACGGCGAACTATTTACTACCTAGCTTGATGGCTTTATACAAACAGGAAATCAAAATACAAATCGTCACGTAAAGGTAACCATTGCAACAAACTAGCAATGATTAAGACAGGTAAAAAAGACGGTAACCTTGTTAAATCTGAATCATTTTAAATAGCAAATCACGGATATCGATTTAATAGTCTTTATCATTTTAAGTAGCAAATCACGGATGTCAATTTAATAAAATCCTCATCATTTTAAGTAACAAATCACATATTCTATTTAATAGTCATCATTGTAAGCAACACATCACTAATATCCATTTAAAAAGTCCGCAGCATTTTAAGTGACACAAATAATATCCATCGGATAAAACACGTATCATTTTAAGTAACAAACAAACCACATAGTACCATCCAATAGTTTGCATAAAAATAAAATAACAAATCACCAAAATCCATCAATTAAAATCGGCATCATTTGAAAACTAACAAATACTATTCTATTATCGTTAAATCAAATCTGCATTACGTTAAAACTAATAAACACTATTTTCGTTTAATAAAATCTGCATTATTTTTAAACTAACAAACACTATTATCGTCAATAAAATCTGCATTATTTAAAAACTAACAAACACTGTTATCGTCAAAAAATTCTGGATTATTTAAAACTAACAAAAAATAAATAAATCACTAATGTCCATTCGCTAACACCTGTATCATTTTAAAAGCAACAAACAAAGCACAAATATCCATCAGATAAAACCTGCATCATTTTAAAAGCAACAAACAATCCACTAATATCCATCGCGCAGAGAAAAAAAAACCCAACAATATCTCCCAGCAGAAAACTAAAAAAACGTAAGCGCACCAAATCTGTTTACCTTGTGTTCATGTGCTTATAGACATAGGAAATCATCGTTCTGGCTCTTTCACGTTAAAGGCATCATTGTCACAGAGAGCGGAGGTAGAAAAATAAAACCCACCGCTACCAAGTCTCACGTGAAAATCAGCGCAGGCCCAGAGGAAACGGCAACTCAAATATTGCTCATTCTCCCGCCCTCGTCGTGTGCACGTGAGCCGGTCGGTCGGGCGCGTTACGACGTGACGCCCAGCGACGTGCGCCAGCCCCCCCCCTCCTCCCACCCCACCGCTCAGCCGGCATTTTCGATCACCGGTTTGTTGGTCTTAACTCACAAGGGGTGTGTGTGGTAAGGGGGGGGGGGGAGGGGGTAGGGAGGGAGGAGAGAGACACACACACGCACACTCACTAATTCACACACACATATATACTTATACACACTCACGCAAACAGATACACACACATAAACAGCTACCTACACACACTCACACAAACAGACCCACACACAGACGCACGCACCTGAACACTATTTCGTGGAACAATACCCCGGGTCGGGCCAAAGCAAAAGCGTGTTTATTTGAGGAAGTTTGGCTGCAGCTAATGTTAACATAGGTCGCTTGTTGAGAGAACCGTATACTGCTGTGGGGGAGACAAGACAAATAGTTGTGTTGGATAATTAGATGAAGATTAGACCCCGCCACCTTGTACGAGCAGTGAACCTACGCCCCTGTAGGTTATTCTTTTTTTAAAAAACCTCTATTAGCATGATAAGCTTTTGTTGAGGATTCTTTGAATAGCAGAACCCTACTGCGGAAATTTTAGTTTTTGAAGCAAAGATCAGTTTAGTTAAAGATAGAAGGTTGTTCCAAAATAGTGAACAGCACGGATATTAATACTACAGTTTTGGTGTTTGGCACTCTAAAACTGAAGAGCATTGATTTTGTTGTTTATGTGAAGTGAAGTTATTTTGTAAACATTTAACCATTTAAAAGAGCAATTATTTATTTAAAGTAACGCTGGTGGCAAACTTTTGTCCTAATTCGTGAGACAGACCTGGGCTAAGCATTCAAGTCATTTGTTGTAATTGGCCTTCTTTTTGTGTTTTAGTTTATCCTATATACAATAATACTTGCTGTAAAAATATACAAAAAAAAAACAAACAAACAAAAAATAAAAAAAATCACACAATAAAATAAATGAATAAAACAACATACCTAGTTAGGTTTGCCAGATAAAACGGGCAGGTAACTGCCGGTCCAATTTGACTGTCAAGCAACGCTCACTAAACGGCCGTGCGTTTATCTGGCCGGAGCCCGGGGGATGTGCCCGTAGAGATGGAGAGCTCTCTCTTGTCCCCGTCCATCTCGGCACGGGCCGGCCATCAGACGTGAAGGAGGAAGCCAATTCTATCGAGTACGTCCCTCATCCCGGGATAACTAGAGCCACGGGCACTGGACGCTGGAACAAAGAGCAAGGAAAACATTACAAGGGAATTCCTAATCGTCTACAGATGGTGCCCCGCGGGTCATGGGCAGTGACAAACGTTGACAAGATAGACAAACCAGTTTCTATGGACCAGTCAATGTTCAATTGTTTCTTTTGGACGTAGATTAAAACCCATTTTGAGACTGATAGCAACATTTCTAAAAAAAATTGCAAAACTATGTTTTTTCGGCTCAAGGACGTGTAAAACTTCGAGATTTGTGAAAGTTTTGATTTCAATTTTTTTGCACGATTACAATACATTCTCTATATTTCGTATACGAGAAAGTAAAAAAAAAAACCAACAAAAACACAATCCTAATATATAAAACGCCATGTGCGCTCTTCTCTCTCTCTCTCTCTCTCTCTGTCTGTCCGCAAAATATTTTCGCCGGACATCACGTCAGAAACGGCAGCGATATATGGAGAACTTTATACGGACTTTTGTTGAAAATAATATGTTAGATGTTTTAAATGTATAACCACAATTTTATTTAAAGAAGAAAAATAAAAATTAAAGGCGTATTCGAATGTAGAGAAACAGTATTATTTATGCAACCGGAAAAGCATTAATACATGTGAAAAAGAACGCGCATAAAACTGTGACGTCACTATTGCTTATACATTAACTAATGACGTCATCTGAAGAAAGAAATGAACTATTTCATTCAAATTTGATTTAGATCTACGTACACTATGAAATGTATACAATACAATTTTTCCGGCCTAAACTCATAAAATTTATTTTATGTATTTCGATTCTAGATCTACAGATTCTAGATCTAGACTAAATCTAAATCTACGCAATAACTAGATCTAGACTCTAGACTAGACGTAGACGCTAAGATCTAGATTTAGACTCTAACTTCTCTAAAATCAATTCCAAAAATAAATTTCTATATTAGGACTAAACTATTTCAAGACTTATTTATTTTATTCAAAATCTTTGTTTGGAACTGGCTAATTTGGGATAAAAAAATTAATTTGAAAGAATAGGCATATTTGCGTAAGTTAAGATTTTAAAATACGTGTTTCATTCTCCGTATTTTATATGGTACCTAAATAGCGAAGATGTTAGTGTACATAAAACCACGCAGGTGGTGCGGGTTCGAGACACACCAAGTCAACTTGGTTAATATAATTTTTTTTTATTATGCTCGGGCTAAACTTAAAAAAAAAATTCTTTTAGGCATCTAGATCTAGATTGTCGGGTGTCCGATAGGGCACTTCCCGGCGCCGCAGGCGCTTCAAATTTGGCAGGATCTTGCCTTGGGGCGACAGAACACGGGGGCCGGTTGGCCGAAAAGTCTACGATGAGGGGGTCAAAACTGACCTCGACTGACCGGTACCTTATATGAGCTATAAATAGAAAAAAAATGTCCACGGAGGAACCTCTTCATAACTCTTGAGGTCGTAGACCGACCCTCGGGCGAATTAATTAAGCATGCAAATTCTCAATGTTTTCGAAAGCCTAAGCGAAGCTGGGCAGCATGCCTAGTGTATAAGATTGGGCGCTAGAATGCCGACACTAGAGACAAAAGTTCCTTTTATGTCTCGAGTTAGTAGGACACATCTTAGTCTACCCAGCTCTGGTGGGCACCAGACTACTGTCTATAAATAGAGCAAAGCTTAATGCCGACCCCCAACCCCAAGTGAGTCTTAAAAAAACCGAGGTCACAAAAACCAATGAATTCTACTTCTTCTGCCACAAACGATATAAGATCTTAAAAGAAAGAAATACCTTACTGTGATTGATTCAAGAGATCAGTCTGAGTTTAATTAAAGATCATCAGAGAAAAAAAGTATTGAACTGGACTAGCAAGACCATAAAGTAAACGAGCACCAATTAATTCTACTACTTGTAACATAAACGATATAAGGTCTTAAAAGAGAGAAATACCGTACAGTGATCGATTTAATAATCAAATATAATCAGAGAAAACAAGTATTGAACTGGACAAGGTAGACCATCAAGTAAAGGAGCACGCGCTTGACAAAGGTCTGAAAGAGAAAACATGAGCAGGTAAACACAAGGTGAGCAGAGTCTTCAGGCTGGAAGAATGGGTAACACCTGCAGCATCAAAGGTCAAGCCAGATGGGGGCGGACTTCACCCCGTGGCTAAACCCACAAACCACAAGAACAACCGGCTTCAGTGGTATTGTGTTGGGGCGACTCATTAGGTAATTAGACGAGCGTCATTTTGACACCAGGTAAAAATACAACGCTATTTGATATACGTCTGATAAAAACGTTTCAAACAATTCAACTCGCAAAAAAAAAAAAAAAAAAAAAAAAAAAAAACTGTTGGATAGGAATATTTAAAAACAAAACTCTTTAAATAAAATACTCCTTTACCTGATAGTTTAAAAAAATATAGTGATTCAAGCCAAGAGTTCTATAAAAGAAACAAGACGGGAATAGATGAGCGAGGTGTCAAAATATTGCATTAGATCTGCAAGCAAATGATTGATCACTACCGCACCTGGCCCGGTACACATACAGTAGGACAGGAAAACTATCTTAAAGTATCGGGTGTGTTGTTGATAGAAACAGACAGTATATGCGTACACTTTAACCACTTTGTACTCCCCCCCCCTCGTTTAGTATTAATTGTAACAACAAACACCGCACTAATAAAAGTAAGGATTTTTTAAACGTACGGGAAATGAATACTGATATATGCTCACGTCGGAGTTAAAAATAGTTCAATAAACTATTTTTAAAAACAACGTAAAGGTGAGCAGGTAGAGGGTTATAGTTATAACGAAAAAAAGAGTATACGAAATTGTTGGGGATCTCTGGAACACTAATTAATGAATTAAATACTACGATCAGTTGGCCATCGATGTATCGATGTGATTTACACGACATGATTGATGCAATTTGTGTATAGTTTCATTAGACCCCCACGCCCATCAAATAAAAAATTAGGTTAACAACTGAAGGCTTCATTCAACCTTTTTGATTATTGTATGATGCTGTTGGTCCTTAGCTGTATTTATCACCCAACCCCCACACCCATACACATACAAACACACACCCATACAATGTCACTGAAACTTGAGGACTCCCCTTTATCATATACATATTTGATGTAGTTTGTCCATAGTCCCACCCCAACCCATTAAGTAAAACATTTGAAAGTTGAGGGCCCCCCCCCCTCTACCTATCATATACAGATATGATGTCGTTTGTCCATAGCCTCCCCCCCCCCTCCCATCACATGAAACATTTGACTGAAAGTTGAAGGCCCCCCTCTACCTGTCACCTACAGGTATGATGTAGTATGTCCATAGCCCCCCCCCCCCTCCATCAAATGAAACATTTGACTGAAAGTTGAAGGCCCCCCTCTACCTGTCACCTACAGGTATGATGTAGTATGTCCATAGCCCCCCCCCCCCCTCCATCAAATGAAACATTTGACTGTAAGTTGAAGGCCCCCCTCTACCTGTCATCTACAGGTATGATGTAGTATGTCCATAGCCCCCCCCCCCCCCTCCATCAAATGAAACATTTGACTGTAAGTTGAAGGCCCCCCTCTACCTGTCATCTACAGATATGATGTAGTATGTCCATAGCCCCCCCCCCCCCCTCCATCAAATGAAACATTTGACTGTAAGTTGAAGGCCCCCCTCTACCTGTCATCTACAGGTATGATGTAGCTCACACGGCCGAGCATCGACCTTTCGCTAACGACTACCCTGAATGCCAAGACGAGCTCTCAGGTTTCATTCACAACAACTTGTGAGCTGGTATTTTTTCCTCCCTCGTTAGCCGGATCAAAGCCTGTGAATGGGGGGAACGCTGATATAGTGCTGGTAACACCTCCCGATGCTAGACTTTTCTACTCACACCAACGGTTCTAATGTACCTTGAAGTGTTACAGTCGCAGACTTTAGTATTGCCCGGAGAAAAAGACTTTCAGGTAAAGGTTATTTTTAACGGCGGAACTGACTGTTTGGGAAAAAAATAAAGCACACGGCTAGTCGTGTGAGCTGGTTAAAGGGCAATGTATTTGTTCCTTCCTTTACCTATTTCTAAAGTTTCTGTTGTTGACAAATTTACATTAGGTGTGGTATATAAACAAATTTCCGGAAACGGCTTAAAAAATAAATAGCGAGCTCTTGGTGGTTCGCGTACATACGAGTCTCGTCTTCTATGATAATATATCTTGAGATATAGGTCTCCACAGTAGTATGGTTTTAGCATAATAATAAATAGTTGAAGGTCCTACCACGATACAAGGTTTAGGAAACTAATAATAAGAAATAAAATTAACCCTTGTCATTCGGTAAAGAATAAAAGCGAGATACACCCAAGAAGAGATGGAGAGAAGAAATTAAGCAACTATTCTGTCGTGCTGGTCTTCAAAGTAGTATGATTTTAGCAAAATAATATATAGGTGAAGGTTCTACCACGATACAAGGTTTAGGAAACTAATAATAAGAAATAAAATTAACCCTTGTCATTCGGTAAAGAATAAAAGTGAGATACATCCAAGAAGAGAAGGAGAGAAGAAAGTAAGCAGCGAGTCTGTCGTGCTGGTACCGCAGTCTGGATCCTCTTTGTCACGAGTATAATGATGATCCCACAAGGCGCTTTACTTGACCAAGTGGAAATGGTCAAATCTATGGGGGGCTCCACTGTAAACATCCCCGGGGTGTTTGTCTAGCGGTACACGGGTCAACACTACAGCATGTAACCTTGCCATTTCCAGTAATTGTTTTTTTTTCTCTTTCTTTTAACAAAGTCTAGCCGGGAGACTTGATACACTGACATAGGAGGAATGCTTGTAATGTTGTCAAGGATGTTATATCGTTGGCGATGTTGAATGTATATACATTATAGTTTGTATACACTGACATAGGAGGGATGCTTGTAATGTTGTATTAGTCCAGGATGTTATATCGTTGGCGATGTTGAATGTATATACATGATAGTTTGTATACACTGACATAGGAGGGATGCTTGTAAT